TTGGTCGAGGAGGAGCCCGATCGCACTGACGACGCGCAGCCCCGGGGTACCAACCCCCGAGGCTATCAACTCTTGTCGCCACTTGGCGATTGTGCATCGTCGGTGCTGGAGTCTCATCCGAGCGCGGTGTTCCTCCAACATCTTGATTGGCCTCCCCTCCGAGTCGCGGCTCGCGAGGAACATCAACCTCTGTTCCTCGGCCGCGTACTCCATCGGGGGGAGACCAGAAATCACCGCCGCAGCGTTGTACGCCACAGTCCGGTAGGCCCTACATATCCTCGCGGCGATCGGGCGAATTGCCCGCGCCATACCGGCGCGGGCACGCCTCGATGCCGCGAGCCTTGGGGCCCAAACAGGGGCCCCGTAGAGCACCACCGACTTGACTACGTTGGCGTACAACCCACGCACGCACCTTGCCATCCGGGCCGCCCAGGTTGGGGAGGAGGCGGCCCAACTGGGTCGCTCTCGCTCTCGCCTGGTTAGCGGCCGCGGCAAGGTGGCTCTCGAACCTCCATCGGTCGTCCAGGATCAACCCGAGGTACCTCATTTCCCGGGTGATCCTGAGGGTTGTATCCACAAGCAGGGACAGCCCCTCGGGTGGCTTGCCGCGTGCTCCAACGTGGAACACAACGGCCTCGGTCTTGCCGAGTGCCACCTCGAGGCCCAGCCTGCGGATAGAGCTAACCACCGCTCCCGCTGCCACTCTCCCCCTGGAGAGGGCCTCTCCCCAGTCCCGACCCCCGGCCATCACTAATGTGTCGTCTGCGTAGCAGACGACGTGACAGTCGGGGGGGAGGGGAGTCCGCAACACCGGATCGTACCCCACGTTCCATAATAATGGTCCCAAAACGGACCCTTGGGGCACTCCCCGGTGCAGCTCCGCCCGTCGGCGCACGCCGCCTTGGTCGATATACTCGACCCACCTGTCCATCAAGTAGTCGCCCACGACCCGCTGGAGATACAGCGGTATCCCCAGGTGTCAGAGCGACCTCCTGATCATTTCCCAGGGGAGGGTGTTGAATGCGTTGGAAATGTCCAACGACACCGCTAACATCACCCCCCCCCCGGGAAGTCACCTCGTCCGAGAGGGCCCGGACACGACTAATCGCGTCCATAGTCGATAAGCCCTCTCGGAATCTGTATTGGGCCCCGTTGACGTTGGGGCCCACGTGGGACAGGTGTTGGACGATCCGGCTCGCTATGATACGCTCAAAGAGCTTGCCGGATTCGTCCAAAAGGCATATCGGGCGATACGCCGACGGCACGGATGCGTCTTTCCCCTCCTTCTGGAGGAGCACCAACGTGGCGCTCTTCCACTGCGGGGGGAAAGACCCTCTCCGGAGGCACGCGCTGTACATTCGCGCGTAGTGCTCCTCAAGGACGCCCATCGCCAAGGCGTGGACCTTCTTGTGAAGGCCGTCGGGATCAGGGGCCGTGTTGCCTCTTAGTCCCCTTTTGACGGCCTTCCGGAGTTCATCCGGCTGGACGTCGAGGGAGTCGTCCCAGTCTGGGTATTCTTCCCCAGACAATGAGGGTGGGCCCTCCTCCCCGTCATCTTCAGGGAAGAGGGTACGCACCACCCTCTGGACGAATCCCGCGTCCAGCCGTTCCGTTAGAGGGGGCGCCCATGGCCTCAATTTGTTGAGGACCATCTTATATGGGCGTCCCCACGGATCTTCATTTAGGGAGTCGACGAACTCCGTCCACGCCTGGCCCTTAGCCTTCTTGATGGCCTTGCGGAGGGCTACCTTGGCCACCAGGTAGCCCCCCCTTGCCCTTTCGGCCGCCTGCCCGCCCTTGCGCGCATGGCGGGCGGATATTCGCTGCTGGTGGACGGCTTGCCGGCGTAACTCGGCAATTTCTTCCGTCCTGGTGGACCGCCCGCCGAGGCCGAGTTTTCGATCGGGGCATAGCGGCGTTACACGCCGCCGCTAATGCTGTCCCGATCCACTCGGCCTCTTGTTGGGGATCCGTATCGCGGGTCTCGGGGACATCCCCCCGGACCCAGCAGGCGGCCTCAAGGGAGGCCATCAGGTCATCCTCGCGGAGCCTCTTAAGGGCCCATCGCGGTCGCATCTCTCGGCGACGCCCGAGAGACGCGAGGGCACCGAGCTCCACCGAAATCCAACGGTGGTCTGATAACGCGAGCCCGGTGTCCCCGGTCACTCTCCACCCGGTGACATGGCGCGCCGCGGAGGGGGTAGCCCATGTCAAATCGACAATGGACTCCCCCTGCGCGCGCACACAGGTGGAGACCCGGCCCCTATTTAATAGGACCAGGCCGAGCGCCGCTGCCCAATTCTCTAGAGCCCTCCCTCTGTTGTAGGTTCGCCGGGAACCCCACGCCACGCTGTGGGCGTTAAAGTCCCCGGCGACGAGGACCGGCTCACGGCCGAAACGTCTAACCGTCTGTTCGACGTCGGCCAGCCAGTCCTCGTAGAGGGAGAGTCTCCTGTCCGGACGGAGATACACTCCCACGACCACGATGGGCCCCCAGCGCACGGCGACGTGTCTATCGCCGCGCTCCAATGCGGTCGTGGTGGGAGAACCCTGCCACGACCGCCAACAAATCGCTGCCGTTCGCTCCAACCGCACCCCCAGCCACTCAGGGTGGTCCTGGGGGACGCGGCCGGGCTCGGCAATCACCGCCAAGCTGTGACCGCTCTCCCGGATGTCCTGCATAAGCAGGTCTTGCGCCCTGGGAGAGCGATTCACGTTGGCCTGAGTTAGGCCGTACCCCTTTAACCCAGGTGTAGGGGGTCCCGGCATTACGGGGTCTTACCCCCTCCTCCCGGGGGAGGGATCGACATCCATGGCCTCCAATAAAACTACGGGGTTCATCACCCCGGAGGCCACCGCTTGCCCCTTTCTCTTGGAGCGAGGGAGGCGCTGCGTGAGGGGGGCTGCTCCCCCTCCTGTGCGCCTTTCCCCGCTACTTCCGCCTCCATCGCGTCTGCAGGCCTCGACGGTCCGGCCTGCTCCCGGGAAACCCCTGTTGCCCGCGGCGCCTGCCGCGGGCCAGGTGTCCCCCCCTTTATTTTTCTCTGGGAGCACTGTTTGGCTCCCAGAGTATGTCCCGTCGGCCTCCCCAAGTCCACGCAGAGTGGGCATTTTTAGGGAGCTCGGCAGTCCCGGGAGGTGTGCCCGGTGCCAGCGCACCGGTAGCACCTCCCCGACCTATCTACTTTGCTGGGGCAGTTCCCGCGCGTGTGTCCCCCCTCGAGGCACTTGAAGCACCTCATCGGGCGCACCTCGAGGAGATCCACCTTTGCACGGGACCACCCCACCATTAGGTGGCCCATCTAGGCCACCTTCTTTACTGCCGACAGGGGGAGGCGGAGCCACATGCTCCCCGCTCCCCTGTCGGCCTGCTGTATCCCCTTGTGTTGCACGCACAGGGGATCGCACTGTGTGCCCGCCGAAACGGAGGCCACCACCTCCTCTGCCCGGATGGAGGGCTCTAGACCCCTCACCCGGACCTCCCCCGTTTTAATTGGCCGGTCGACTCGCACGCCCTCCTCGCCCTGTAGGGTCTCTCTTATCTGCGCCGCGAGTCGATCGGCCTTGTCCGGGTGTCCCTCCCCTGACACCTCAAATACCGTGGCACCCGTGGCCGCCTGCCTGGTGTCTATATGGCCACCAATTCCCAGCGCCCCCAGGTCCACCTTGGCGCGGACCTCGGCCACCACCCTGGCGTATTGCCCTTGCGGGCACGTCAGGGTGACGGCCGACGTGCGCGGCACTTTTCTTGTCGGGGGCTTTTTTCCAGCCCCTCCCCCCTGTTGGCCCTTTCCAACGGGCTTCTGGGGGGGAGTCTGGCGGGCCCCTGTGGCGGCCTTAGCTGCTTTAGCCGCCGCTTGTTTCTCCCTGCGACCCAGTACCCTCGTCCACGGCACATCAGTCGCCGTGGAAGGTCCGGGTGCAGGGGCAGCAGCGGGTGTAGTCCGTGCTCCCGTCTCCTTACCCCCCTTTTGGGCGGGGGTTTTGTCCT